GGCAAATGGTGTGAATTTCAACAATAAACAATAAATTAATTTTTAGATCGTAATAATATGTCAGATAACTGAGATTAGTTATAATAAAAGGTTCAAATTTGATGATAATAGAATTATACCTGTAACTGATAAAGAAGTACTTGAAGATAATTACGGAATTGAAACTCCTAATGCCATCAGTTCCACAAACGTGTACATGTTGATATATATCCGTGAATCCGATATCGATTTTGTGCTATCTCCTATACTTGATGAAGATATACCGAAACATCTGCGTGAGTGATACAATTTATGAGACATTATAATTTGAAATTGTCCTGTAAATTTATGTTCCATGTACATATATATGTTAATAGAAAACGCTTTGATGAAGAGAAAGCTTTATATGAACGGGAAAAGAAAGAAACCGATGAACCATACTTATATCTATCTATTAAGGTAATTAGGTAACGATATTATGTGTATCAAATAGTAAGTTTAAATTATTCATAATAGTTTAGGCTTTATTCTCAACCTTTATTATTAGATTGTGACTCCAGCTATCTTTGAGCGCTATCAAGGATTCGATCTTGTAAACTTCAAGGAGCGACAATATCCGCTATCTGAGCTTCCACAGTTTAAGGTTTTGAAAAGTGAGACATATGAGGCTTTCAAAGCTATGATCTCCCAAAAATTTGAGATTCCAGTTGAGCAAATAAGACTCTGGATTTTTGTAAAACGCCAAAATAGGACTATTAGGCCAGATACTCCAATATCAGACGATTTTCTTGACGAAAGTAAGTAATATATAAAACACAATTCTTTTTCATTTCGTAATAAACTTTTATCAATATATTAATTTTTTGTGATGAATAGCAATCGAAATAATTCGCAAAAAAACGGTACGAAGATACAATGAATTGAAATTATATTTGGAAGTGGCAAAACCAATTAATGGCAAAGTAGTACTTAGTATTTATCAATCCATTATATTTTAAGCTTTTTTTTTTTCGCTCATGATTTCAATTATTGTTTATTTGATACATAGATATTGTTCCCACCGACAGAATGTAACTCCAATGTATTGGTTTTTATCAAGTATTTTAGCCCCGATACGCAATCTATAGTGTATGTTATTTAAATTTGGACTATTAATTCATTTGATATAAGAAATAATATTTAAGCCCATGTAAATAGAGGACTTTGTCATTTATATGTTCAACCGCTTGGTAAGGTTGGCGATATTATTCCAATTCTTTGCGAGAAAAAGAATTTTCCGCCACATACACCTTTAAAAATATACGAAGTAAGATATATTTGAGTATACAGTATATTTGTCTTGTTTTGTTGATAATAACGGTCTTTTATCTATTAAAAAATAGGAAATAAAGCCAGACATGATTGAAAAAATGTATCCTTAAGTTACTTTTCAACAATCTGAGATACAAAATGGTGATATAATTTGTTTCCAAAAAGCTTTAACAGAGAAAGAGTAAGTTATTATATATTTTAACCCGATTTTGTCACGCTTTATATTCATTGAATTTTTTCCTGCCTCAATTTAGAATTCAAGAACACACTGTTGTGGGTCGTATTCATGATATTCCTACATTCTATGAGTCATTATCTATGCGTATCATCATTCTATTTAAACCGAAATATATAAATCGAGAACAAAAACCTGAATTCATGATGGTTTTAAATAAAAAGTATACGTATGATGATGTACGTTTAAATTATTTTTTTCGCATTATTATGAATGGTAAAGAATGGTTAAGTGAGGATGTATAATAGTAAAATATGATATTTTATCGAGCTTTTTTTTATATGTAGAAATTCACAAAAATATCATACTCAATATAATACTACATGATTTCAACTATTTATTTTCGCTCCTTTTTTGTTTTTATAGGTTGCTAATCGCGTTGCTATTTTTTTAAACACGGATCCTTTGAAATTACGATTTTCAACGGCACATCAAACATCCAATGCACACAAAACTGTAATTAAAAGGACGACCACACAAACACTTTCAGAGATGCTTCAAACAACCAATCCAACTGGATCAGTACTTTTATATTATGAAATGCTTGACATTAGTATTGTAGAATTAGAAACTAAAAAATTCTTTAAAGTATACTGGCTTGGAACAACTGTCAAGGAAGAGGTAATTATAATATTTCGATTTATATATTAGCCAATTCATTAATAATTATTATATTCCTTTTTGAAGGATGTGATTGACATTTGTCTTCCAAAAACCGCTATAGTCAATCAAATTTTTCAAATAATTATAAACAAATTAGCATTAAAACATACTAGTAGGATTAGATTATATGATGTTTTACGTCATAAACTTCAAAAAGAATATGATATTAGCGATCCAATAGATGAAATAGAGGAAAATATGACATTATACGCGGAGGTTTGTTTTTCATTCATTTTCTTATGACTTTTGGAGATTTATTTTTTGGAAAAATAACCTATTTCATATTTAGGAAATACCACAAGATGAAATCAAACTAGGCACTAAAGATAAAGTTATTCGAGTATTTCATTTTGCAAAGGAACCATTATGCGCGCATGGAATTCCATTCAAATTTGTTATCAAAGCTGTTAGTATATTTAAAATGCCATTATCATGTGATTACTTACATTTATGTTATACTTAGTTATTTTTTTACATTTTATATAATCAGGGTGAGCCCTTCTCTATGACAAAGTTACGTCTTAAATTACGCTTAGGAATGAATGAAAAAGATTTCTCGAAAGTGAAAGTTGCGGTCATGCAAGATCTATCATATGCTAAACCTCAGTATATAGATGATAGTATGTACTGTACACTCATTTTTCGATTTTTTTATCTTTAAAAAATTTAAAATTTCTGATAAATGTCATCACACTTATTCAATAGATGTTATTCTGTCAGATTATGAATTGACAGATGAGCTTCTATCTCTTGATCATTTTGCGTCTCAAAAACTTGAGATCGCTGTATAAGTGTGCTAAAAAAATTAGGCAGTAACGAAACACAACACAACGGTCTTTAATTAATCAATTCATCCGAAAGCAAAAATAAAGACAAACCAAAAAACTATGTCTCAGAATTTATACTAAATAAATCATTTTGTTAACAACTTAGTACTAAATGTATAGATAAAGAAGTCGTAAATAATTCTAATGCTATGCTTCATCTTGAATTCTATACGAATCGGTTTAATGTATCGTTATTGTCCAGAGCGAAGATAGTGACGCCGTTTTACGATATACTGCAGTGTTTATCTTGAATATAGAGTGATCCTTGGTTACACTATTGCATCTTTAAGTAAAACCTTCATTCGAAGAAGGAAAAAAAATATCAAATTTTTTCAGATTTACTGTTTTTCTTATTTAAAATCATATGATATTCTAAATTTTTTTGTGCACGCGACTTTAATTCCGTACCCATAAGACCTTAACATCCACTGGTAAATAGGTCACATTTCACTACTATATTGAGATAGAAAGTATCAATAATACCAAAAATCTTTAAAGAAACCTTCATAGTAGCGTGAAGAAGCAAGCTTTCATAGGTAAAATTTTGGGTTATGAATGATTTTTTTTTTTTTTTAGAGAAACATATAAACATGATCTGCTTATGATAATTTTGGGCATGATCATGATACGTAATCTGTAATTTCAATATTTTTTTTTAATTCACTTATGGCATCAAAAATTATCTTGAAGCGATATGCCTAGTTAATGGAGAGAATTTTTAATAATTTAGATGAAGTTCTGTTTTCTTTTTCAGCTTTTCGGCTTGATCTCCTCCTATTATATTTTAAAGAATTAGAATATCATATGGTAAATTTATTGCTTAGAGCAGTGTTATATATGAATGATATGCGCGCAAACTTTAAAATCATGCTTAAAAATATGCACAAAAATTATATATATACAAAGTACGCGTAGAGCGCCAATCATTTTCAACAAGACATAATTTATGTGCGCTGGCCTATTGCGCGTACGCCACTGGCTTAGATTATTTATCAAGAGTAGCGCCACTTTATCTAGATTTAAGTTATATATTTTCTTTACTTATTAGGATGAAATATACACCTTTTTTTGCACAAAAAACAATTGTTGCAGTTACGTATGTTTCACACCTAGCTATTTTGGCCTAATTTATTTATTTTCTTTTTTACGTTGCTGACCAGAATTTGCAGTAAAATGTGGCAAAAGAAAAATGTGTTGGAAGAGTTGATAAATCATGTAGCAACACAAAATGGGGAAGGAAATGATGTCATTTCTCCAGTATCATTAGACAGATGGTGCTTCTTCAACAAGCAACATAATTATATGAAAAGGTGGGAGTTATCATATAGGATTAATTTAGCTTTAAATAATAGGGTTATATTTATTTATTATCATTTTTATAATATTTATTTGTTTGTTTATTTTTCTTTTTTTACATAGGTTATATAAAAAGGGTAAACAAAATCTGTGATAAAATATGGCAAAAGACAAATGTGCTAGAAGAAGTGTAGTAACATGAAAAAGAGAAAAAAAAGTTGTAGTTTTAATTTCTCTTGCATCATCCGAGAAAAGAAAACCTAATAAAGAAATTGGTGATACTTTTTCAGCCAGGCAGCATAATTATGTGAAAGGTGAAAATTACTATGTAAGATTAATTTAGTTTTAAATCATAGGGTTGATATTTGTTTATCATCATTTTTTTTACTATTTTCTATATTTTGTAGATTTTATAACTCTCACTAAAGTTTATAAAAGTATAAACTTTAGATAAGTTGTGGCAAAATACCTCTATTCTGCTAAACTATCAAAAGTCCCCAAATTTGTTAGAAATTATCTGGTGATAAATTAATAAGAAGAATGTACAAATGGGGTTGAGTCAATAGAAACCAAGCAAATATTTTTTAATAAGTTTTTTTTAAAATTTTAAACAAGAATAACTTAA